TGATATATTGATATGGGATCGAGAGGATGCGAAATAAATGTTATTTCCTCATATTAATATGAAATTAATTAAACAGGGGCCATTTTCATTACTTATTGTATTTGTATTATTTGACGGCTTCGGTGGTCTAGCTTAGAACACCTCTTTATTTCCGATGGTCGCCGGTTCGATTCCACGCACGGAACAAACATTTATATTCATGGGTATGATTATTTATATCGGTCTGGACGTTTTCTATGTATAATATGTATGTATTTACGTAAAATCTATGTAATTGTATCAGTTATCTAATACCCTTAACACAAGCTTTAGCACAACTTTAGCTAGTTTGATTTACGAACTTTTTTATATAGCTTGGAAGCCATGTTGTCTATACGGTTTCTAAGCTACATCCGATGATTTATTTTATTCAATACCTGATGATGCATCGTTCAGAGGCGAAATACGTATCGCAATATGGGCGTAGACTGAATAATAGTCGGAATTTGATCACCAATAGACAAGGTCGTAATGCTTCCAGTAGCTGTGGTCAGGTCAGGTTAATTAAACAACTCTAAAACACAATTACACCGTGAATTATAATTGTAGCAATATGACTGTTTTTTTAGTTGTGTCAATCAATCAATCTCATTCATACTCAGTTTTCCAACACACATCTTTCATTATTTATATTATTAATAGGATCTTAACACGAATAATTTTATAGCAAATAAAGGTTTTTTACCTCTCTCGATGTTTCGACTAGGTTGCACTAGCCGTGGTCACGAACTGACTGGAGTAACAGCGATGTTAATGTAGATAGGTGCCAGCAGTTTTTTCATCAGAACAGAACTCTATATATCCCTACACTTATTGACTGAACTTTGCTTGAATATATTTATGACTGGAGTCCACGCATATTTCAATCAGTACTTACGTAAATGTGTCTGTACATTTGTTACGTTTTGACGACTAAACGCCTGAACGAATTTTGATGAAAATTGATGATCCAACCCCATAAGTTGGATTGTATCACGGGGACGGACATAGGCTAATCTAAAAAAGATGGCAAAGTCGCACATAGCAGTAATATATAGTGTTCTTTTTACTCGCACTCAACTGATAATTAAGATGTGGGCCATATTGATTGAGCATGCACTGATTGAAGAATCAGCCCACGTTTTAAAAGAGAAAGCTAATTGGGTTAATAGATTTTAACTACATACCAATTGTACGTATTTGCTTTACTAACATTTTGTCGTTTGAACGACCGTTTAGGACTACGTATCTATACTATCTTTTTTTTTATTTGTTTTACATAGGTACGTAAGCTCTATATGTATATATACGAGTATAGCGCTAGCGGACTAGTAAATAAAAGCTATGAACCTTTATTTGCTGCCAGTATGTCAGCAATCTCATTTTTTTAATATTAATTAGTCGTAAAAGCAGAGGAAACTATATAATGTACTAGCTGTGCCCGCGCTTTCACCCGCCTGAAATTATATGTTATTAATTATATCTGATGTATAAGCTATATTACTGTAAAGTTTCATCAAAATCCTTTGAGTAGTTATACGTGAAAGAGTAACAAACATCCATCCATACTCACAAACTATCGCCTTTATATTATCAATAAGATTTATTGGTACAAAAATATTGTAAAAGAGTTTCACCCTTTTCTACTACCTAGGTATAAAATCGTAAATCTAATATACTCAGTCTACCGCATACAATGGGATCTCTAATATTACATAGAAGCAGTACCTTATGGACTTTGTTTTACTGATATCAACAATTTAACCTTGCCGCGAATAGAGCCCGCGGAAGATGAATAAATAACATTCTTAGTACGCTGCCAGTCCATTATCTACAATAAGCAATCATACTCAAGCCGTTAGCGAGAGATATACGAGTACATAAAGTATGCTAGCTGACTCCATATGCGTTACATTTTCCACTTACTACAGATTTAAAACAAATTTTATACATAGAAAATGTTTCTACATAACTACAATATATAAATAATAAAATATCTATCTAGGATATACCACAAGTGAGATTCTTAATGCTCATTTTGCCCAGAAGAATGCATTACAAACTTGACTTGTGCTCTTTTCAAACAGAAGTTATTTTACTTTATCCATACTTCTAAAATATATATGTAATCTAATCTATATATATATATATATGAAGCTGAAACTTTGTACCCCGTTTTAAGAATATTGAGCGGACGTATGATTTTTCGAACATATATACTTTATATAGAGAAGAAGTACAGGAAAATAATATGAATTTTTAAATATAAAATTATGTATAAAAATACATTACATCAATAAAAAACATTACACACACTTTACTATGTATTTGACACACACGCATATATAGTCTTTTTTGCTTATTGTTAAGGTATGTGGTCAATTAAAGTATAAATTAATATTGTTTATCGATAATCTTACTAAATATCAAACGTAACCGTAATTTGAATTAGTTATGGTCGAATTTCGACTACTAGTATAAATTATTTGACAATAACACCTGCAATTACAACCACATGAAACTGCGGCGGGTCACTCGTTATTTTTTTTATATATAGAAAAAACAAACATTATTGTTGCTGCCAGTGTTGCCATAATTGTTACACTACATTAAAATCTCAGTCAAGTACTGTAATAGAGTTTATAACACATAATTCAATCGTGCTCTTAATTTAACTATTAATAGAGTGCTTTGTACTACCGCCCACGTGTTGTCCGGATCTTCGTATTCATTTATTATAGTGAAACTGCGAATTAGTTTATTAGTTGCTTTTGATGAAATTTTATTATTTAATAAAATAATTTTCACTTTCTAAATTTTAACTAAAATTTAAAAACGTTTATATAACGTTTTTTTGTAATTTTTTTTACTTAACTATATCATTATATTTCGCCTAATTAACATAATATCTTTTTAAATTATAGCCTATGTGTTATTCTGATATATAAGCTACATTGCTGTGAAGTTCCATAAAAATCACTAGTTTTTATGAGAAAGATTAACAAACATCCATCCATACTCATAAACTTTCGCGTTTATAATATTAGGAAGATATAGATTTAAATAGAGCAATGTACGTTTCATAAATTAGTGGACAGTGCATAAGTGAAGTGACTAGTGTGTACTCTATTGGGCACATCCTCGCTCCACTGAGGTGGTATGTTTTCACACGCCCACACTACAATCTACACAAAATGTCCGACGAACGGATATGATTGTTTGTCCGTGTTGTCTCTGACGTGTAGGACGACGCGCGCTCTACTATATTGTATTTGATTTAAACTATATAAATATTTATCTATATTTTACGGCTTTGGTGGTCTAGCAGTTTAGCACACCGCTTTTTAACATTGAATAAAAATGCCAGTGTTGTAAAATGCCTTTAATGTACATTAAAAAGTACAAGTAATTCTAAAATTTAACTCACTGTTCGATCGTTCCTTTTTCAAAAATTAGAATGGCAGGAACTATTTTTTTTTTGTTTCCTTCAAAGATTATTTAGGCTCTGGCGGCTGACGTTCCGTTTCAGGCTATTCTGAATTTCTTATTCGTTAATTTTTAATTAATGGTGCCTCACGCTTTGCCTAAGGCGATGTTATATAAAGTTATCATCGTGAGTATATCGCGTATATCTACCATCGTGCACCTTAATTTGTACACTGTGTTAAAGGGCAAGGCGGTGAAGGTAGCGTATATTAGCCATGACATCTCAGTCCTCCAGAATGCATGAAAAGGGTAAAAGGGATCACGATCTGATAGCCATGCTTCATTCATTCGTAATTTAAGAGCTACGCTCTTGTCGGTGGAGCGCTACGCTCTTGAGTACGCCTCTTGCCACGTTCCGCCATTGCCATCTTCCATCATGCTCTTTAAATGTTGATACAACACGACTATCATTTTGTCTTTAATTTGCTTGATGTAGTTGTGCCTTGGCCTTCCCTTCCCGCTCTTTCCTTCTATTTTTCTCTCAATAATAATTTTCATAAAATCATCGTGCTATATCAAGTATTCTAACCTTTTCCTCGTCTATTTTCTATTATATTCAATATCAGCCCTTTTTCTAGCACGTAAAAGGTATTTTTTGTCGTTTTTGCCTTTTTTTGCCGTGGCTATTCTTGTTGTAATATGTGTGGTACATACATCTGAAGTCGCTAGTAATTAAAATAACCATGTTTGCTAGTGCTTAAAGTAAACCATGGTGCTGTACATAATTTACATCTGTATCATAATTTAAACGAACTGGCTACAAAGTATAAAGTTAAAGGAGTCAATATAAATACCTATACGTAATTCCGCCTGCCAACATTAGGCCTAGAGCGCTCATCATTTGATTGACCTAATGATATGGCTAACTGGAATAATGTGGCTAGACCGGTCAGTCAACTATATAAGTACAGCCTGGATGGACTCTGCAAACAAGAACTGTTCCTGTCTAGGACAGATGTACCTACATGAATAATACAATAAATTTAGGTTGCCGGGATTTTGATAGACGTAAAAATACTATAAGAATGAATTGAAAAATGAATTTATTAAAAATATAAATAATCTTTATTCAAATAAACTCAATACATGCATTTTTGAGAAGTCATATTTTTTATTCTACCACTCATTCATTCATCGCACGCTGTTTCATTACAAGAATGAACAAGAAGTTTGTGTGTTGCTTTTTTGAATAGATGATTTTTTTATATATATAAATAATTACACAATAACAAGTAACAGGCATGCGATAATCAACATAGAAACCGTTACGCAGTCATTCTCTTTGCAATGCCGCCATGAATTTTTTTTTTTATATAAATTATTACACAATAACAAGTAACAGGCATGAGATAATCAACATAGAAACCGTTACGCAGTCATTCTTTTTGCAATTCCGCCATGAATTTTAAGTTACAAAGGAAGTGTTTTATACGACATTTGTATATTTTTCAGGCATGTTACAACTCTGAACTAATTATATGTATATTGTTTGACAGCGCTCCCGCCAGAGATCAAGGAAGCTCCTGAGAACGTGACGAAGGTGGACGGCTCCACGGCAGTGCTCAAGTGTCGGGTGTTCGGTGCCCCCAAGCCAATCGTGAAATGGATGAGGGACGATGTCGACATCACCGGTGGAAAGTGAGCTCTATAAAGAATTATCCTTACTTCCCTACTAATATTATAAATGCGAAAGTAACTCTGTCTGTCTCGCTTTCATGCCAAAAGTACTGAACCGATGTAAATGAAATTTGGTACACAAATAGTCTAGACCCTGAGAAAGGAAGGAGTTGTATTGAAGTATCGTCATTTTTAAAGCTAGAACGATTAATCTTTTTTCTTTATTTGATCCAAATCACAATAACACGCAAGCGAAGTCGCGGGTCCAGCTAGTTATATATAATTAAAGTATCGTCATTTTTAAAGCTAGAACGATGAATCTTTTTTCTTTATTTGATCCAGATCACAATAACACGCAAGCGAAGTCGCGGGTCCAGCTAGTTATATATTTGTTATTGTTCTATAACGAAGTAATATAGGTCCACGAACGACTCATACTATTATTTGATTTCGAAACTATATCTGTTTGATATATATCCGCTGAACAGGGAGCTCATACTCGCAAGCTCCTTCCTCGCCTTGAAGACATTCGAGACCTTCTCTTTGAGATTGAGCAGTCTTTCCATCTTACACAAGTATTAACAGGACACGGATACAATAAGACATACCTTAAGCGTTTCCACATCGTAGACAATGCGAATTGCCCCTGTGACGGATTCAGTGACCAAACATTTGAGCATCTGTTTAGCGAATGTCCCATTTTCAGCAAACCTCGACACGATCACGAACAAACGTGCCGAATATTTGGTATCAGCGCTCCCTATGATCTCATCGCTCTCATAAAAAAGTCAGAAGCTCTGAACTCGTATAATTTATTTGCTAAACAAATATGTTTAGCGAATAAATTATTACAATAGTAAATAACCTCAAAAAGATCAACAAAACATAATAATTTGCAAAATCACAACATACAAATAGAAATATATATTTATTCATTTACGTATGTATATAACTATAATATATATGTATTTATTTCTATAATTTAACATCCCCTCCAGAGGAACACATTATACAATTAAAACTTTGGCCGTATCAAATCGCGGCTGAAGTACTACATAATATATTTATAATACAAAAAAAAAATGGGACAATAAAAAAACAGTCGAGAAACATATAAATTAAAAAAAAAAAAAAAAAGTTATCGTAATATTTGTTGTGAAGATTTTTGTAAATCTTATATATAAAATTCTCGTGTCACAGTTTTCGTTCCCATACTCCTCCGAAACGGCTTGACCGATTCTCATGAAATTTTGTGAGCGTATTGAGTAGGTCTGAGAATCGGCCAACATCTATTTTTCATCCCCCTAAATGTTAGGGTAGGGTTAGTCCACCCCTAAATTTTTTTTTATTTTAAGGCAAAACAACGTTTGACCGGACAGCTAGTATATCTATAAAATCATGACTTACATAAAGTTACTTAAACTTACTTAAAAGTTACTAAAACAGGGATTAATTACTAGAAAATTTGGTAACTGTTTTTAAAAAGTTTTTAGTTTAAACCCCTGTTTACGAAACTGTAAATAAATAAGGCTATATAAATAAGTCTATTAATAAATATATACTATCTTTATAAACATGATGCCAACAACCCAAGGCATTATTTATGTAATACGTGCCTTAATTTTAGATATTTTAATTTAGAAGTGGCCTTTCAGACTTTTATGGCTCGATTCACATTCATAAACATCGCAATGCACATATATCTATTTATATATGTTACTAGCTGTTACACGCTATTTCGTCCGCGAGGATTTTTGTTTATATATAAAACTAGCTATTCGCCCCGGTTTCGCACGGGTGTACAAGTATTATATATATAAACCTTCCTCTAGAATCACTTTTATATATTTAAAAAAATCAAGCTTCAAAATCCGTTGCGTAGTTTTAAAGATTTAAGCATACATAGGGACCGACAGCGACAGCGACTTTATTTTATACTATGTAATAATGATTACTGAAATATCTAGTTTAAAAGTAGCCAAGTTACTCTTTATAACATTAGATATCTGTGAGTGAAAGTCCCGTTAAAATCGGTCCAGCCGTTTCAGATGTTAATAAGACAAATAGACACAGAGAAAGATAGACACAGAACGTTTTTTTTATGTAAGTCTAAATATATATAACTCAAAGGTGACTGACGTAGTGATCTATCAGCGCACAGCCCAAACCACTGGACGGATCGGGCTGAAATTTGGCATGCAGGTAGATGTTATGACGTAGGCATCCGGATTAAGTAAGTATTTTGATTAATTCTACCCCCAAGGGGATAAAATAGGGGATGAAAGTTTGTATGAAACTTTGTCAATTTTAAACCGATCGGGCTGAGACTTGGCCTACATAAAGCTACTATGACGTAGGCATCCCATAAGAAAGGATTTTGATAAATTCCACCCCTACGGGGATAAAATAGGTGATGACAGTTTGTATGAAAGTACTGTAAAGCCGCAAAAACTATACCAAATAATAATAAAAAGCCGCGGGCAAAAGCTAGTACTGTATATAGTTTCATATCCATTTAGTGAAAAGTAGTATCAATTTAAAATTACAAATAGACACTTCAATTTTATATTTGTATGGATTATGATAAGTATTATTCACTGGGTGAATATGGTACTTTCCAACAGACTTAATAACAGATTCTGAATCCGAGTAGATTTTTTTATCATGTGCAATGATTACTTTTTTGAACTCTGTTCGTTGGAACGTTTTTTTATCTACATATGAGTTGATATTAAAATTTTATCTAGCAATGACGGTTATATAGTAATAAATAAATATAATAAAAACTACTAGTGACATATGTATGTCAAAATTTCAGTTACAAATACCAATAACACACCCATATTATTAGTATTTACAAATGGGTCATTTAGCGTCGTGTGAATTGTGTGAGGCTAGTATTTCCTTATCATTTTTTTATATCTAATTTCAGTATCTTATCAAAATAAATTATTTGCCTAAGTAAATATACAGATACACCAGTTTGCAACTACTGGTAATATTAAATGATGCTATTTTCTAATTTATGTAAAATCAACTAAATGTAGATTAGAACGCCATTTCGCATGACCATAATAAAGGACCGAAGTTCTGTGTTTTATAATACACTAGCTACTCGCATGTGTTATACATATAAACCTTCTTCATGATTCACTCTATCTATAAAAAAAACCGCTTCAAAATCCGTTGCGTAGTTTTAAAGATTTAAGCATACATTAGGACGGACAGACAGCGACAGCGACTTTATTTTATACTCTGTAATGACTTAATAGAAAACAGAGCTTGTGTTGTGTGTATTAGTCAACTGATATAAATAGCAGGGTATGTTTTTGTAAATAATTCCATAATGTACATAATAAACACCCAGACAAATACAAACAATCATACTCATGAATACAAATCTTTGTGCTGTACGGTACCCATCACGGAGGTTTTGAAATATAATAATGATCTTAATTATTAGTCTAACGGTTTAGCACACCGTTTCACCTTCGATGGTAGCGGTTTCTATTTCCGCATGGTACAATATATTATATTCATGACTATGATTGTTTGCATCGGTCTGGGTGTGTTTTGTTTTTATTCTGTCATTATTTACAGAAATAAAATTTCTAAGTATTTATATTAGTTGTCTAATACCTATAACACAAGCTTTGCTTAACTTGAGGCTAGATGGTGCTGTATTAATTGTCAACGGTGATTATTATAATTATTTATTATTTGGAAATATCATTAATTTATAGATTGGATCTTCATTCATTCATAATTTAAGAGAGACGCTCGTGTCGGTGGAGCTCTTGCCACTTTCCACGATCTTCCATCATACCCTTTAATCGTTGATTCGTCACGACACCAATTCTATCTTTAATTTGCTTGATGTAGCGGTGCTCTGGTCTTCCTCTCCCTCTTTTTCCTTCTATCTTTCCCTCAATAATAATTTCATAAATTCATCGTGCCGTATCAAGTGTCCTAATATTTTTTCTTTCTTCCTGTGTAATACTTCTTCATTTCTTACTTTATCTTTCCATCCTTTTCCAGCGTTGTATCTTTATTCTCCAGATTAGATCTTAAATCCTTTAAATTAATTAATAATGATGTTATCAATTAGGTACAACATCACATCGGAGGGCGACCTCGTGATACCGGACCTGTCGTTCACAGATGTCGGCACCTACCAGTGCTACGCCAAGAATAAGTTCGGAGAGAAGTCAGCCTTCGGATCCTTGACCGTTAAGAGTGAGTTCATACTGTACACATCTACTTTTAACATTATATAGCTAGTTTTGTACAATGTAATTTAGTTTGGACATGAAATAAGACAGTGAAATTATAGGGCACTCTGGACTATTAAAGAGACACCTAAATAAAAAACTGTTTTTGCTACATTGTATACTCATGAACTAAAGTAACATCTGTTTTTCATATCTTTATGTTACTTTCTCTCTGGCAGCGGTGCCAAATGCAAATAGTGAAGTTATATTCCATTACCGCATTATTTGCTATTGTTTTGTATCAAATGTCGAACTGACCACCGCGTGGCCCCAGGCAGGCAGAGCGCTGATTAAAAAAAGGCCGGAAAGTAACAGTGTGCATCACAGTTTTATGGTTGAGATTATATAAAATCAAGTGTGTTGAAAAAGGTCGTATGAAATGCGTGCGTATTTAACACACTCGGCTCTATTGCGCCCCCGTATGTTATAACTATCATAACGCACTTATATCGTAATATTAAATGATTAATTATAAATTTCAGAACACACGGTAATCACCGACGAGCCGGAACACTACGAAGTAGCAGCGGGCTCCTCGGCAACGTTCCGATGCAACGCGAACGCAGACGACTCTCTCAATCTGGAGATCATCTGGCTGAATGACGGGCAGCCAATAGACTTCGAGAACCAGCCGCGGTTCCGCATGACCAATGATTACTCGCTCCTCATATCGGACACCATCGAACTGGATTCCGGCGAGTACACGTGTATAGCAAGGACGGAGATCGACGAGGCTAGGGCGCAGGCTACGCTCACTGTACAAGGTACGACTTAAAAGTATATATAGGTAGGTAGCTATGCCCGCGGTTCACTCGCGTGGAATTTGTAACCTATATGTTATTCTGATGTGGCGTTATATATTGCTATAGAATTCCTTTAATCTAAAAATTAGCTGACACTTTATGTGATCCTGGTACTTTTACTGTGATACTACAGTATCAAGTTAGACTTTTATTAGGTAATGGTAATAATGATGTATATTGAAAAGTTTCATTAAAATTCATTCAGTAGTATTCGTGGAAGAGTAACAAATATCGATCCATAAGACAGATTATTTGTCATTTTTTGTCGCAGTGAGGTAATTAACCCTATTTTATCGGTAACTACGACATTTAAAGTAGATTGAAAATACAAAACTTGATGTCATCTCTTGCAAAGATCATCGCTTTACAATTCACACAGCACCATCTAGTCTCAAGCTAAGCAGAGCTTGTATTATAGTAATTAGTATAATTCACATAACGTCTCCTAGTCATAGATAGTACCCAGACCGATTCAAACAATCTTGCTCATAACTACAAATGTATGTGCCATGCGAGAAATATAACCCGCGATCATTGGAAGTAAAGCGGCGAAACAGTTCAAATTCAAATTCAAAAATCATTTATTCATGTAGGACATTTTAGCCGCTTATGAACGTCAAGTTTTTACATTCTAATTTTTTTCCCTACCGTCCAGTTCGGTATATAGATCCAATTGAGAAGAACTGGCAAGAAACTCAATTTAATTACTTTTTTTTTAAATCCAATTTATTTACAATTCATAGGTATTTATATAGGTGTCTATGTCTAACATGAAATGAAAATCCCGTACATGAACAACTATTGCCATGCACGCTCGTCATTCAAGTAATCGTTCAGCGAGTGACAGGCCTCGCTCAGTAAATATTATTCAACCGCGCAGTGTATTTATGGCACTTGTAAATGGACAGACAAGCCGAACCCGCCGGCTCTGGAAGGCATCTCGTGCAGCCAGCGGCAGGCCACGGTGCGCTGGCACTCGATGGGCGACAACCGCGCGCCCGTGCTGCGCTACACCGTGCACTACAACACCAGCTTCACGCCCGACTCCTGGGACGTCGCCTCCGACTCCGTGCCCGCCACCGACGCCGCCTGGGCCGCCGAGCTCAGCCCCTGGGCCAACTACACCTTCAGGTGACGCGCCACCACACCCACCACACCCACCATATACACCAACTTTTTTCTCCTCTCACTCACTAGTAGCCCCCGGTGTTCCTCTTCGCTGCCGTAGCGCCAGGGTCTCCTCGATAACGAGCGAAAACTCGACGCGTGGAGAAAACTTTTCTCGGTTCCCCGGAAAATGGGATGCGACTGGTCTCATCTCGGCTCTTGTTGTGCGAACGAGAGACTTGAAAATATTTCAGTTATATTAAGAGAATTAAAAAGTATGAGTGTACTTTCCAATTATAACACTCCTCTGGTGTTGAGTTTTGTTGCTGCTTGTTCGCGACGATGATATAATAATTTATATGCTGCTCTCAACATCATCGTTGTTGTCTTGTGATGTATGATGTAATAAATATTACTCTATTTTGTAACCAATACAGTACGATTATCGATTCATAGACAGTTAACAATCTTGCGAGACAGTGTATAACGTTACGGTGACATGTATATATCGTTCTGCAGGGTGGTGGCGTGGAACAAAATCGGTCCGTCGTTGCCGTCGGGACACTCGGATGTGTGCACCACACAACCCGACGTGCCTTACAAGAACCCCGACAACGTCGACGGCAAGGGCTCCGACCCCACCAACATGGTCATCTCCTGGTCGGTACGTATCTTCCCACATTGTCTACATCTATTTTTGTACAATACGAATCATCCTGTAGCACCTAATTGTCTTTATATCTCCACGCTGTCTCTTATCTATTTTAATATCAACCTGTATCACATAACAATCTCTCAAATTTCAGTTACGACTTTGTGCATTAAGTTAAAACAGTGTATTATTTATTTGATAGTAATATATTTCACAAATAATTTATAATAGCAATAAATTAAAATTGACTCGAACTTAGTTTTCAATTATTTGATAGTAGAAATATAATATCTTTGGACAACCCACATAGCGCCATCTAGTCCCAATCTAGATACATCTTTTGTAAATATATACATAGAAAACATCAAGACCAATACAAAGAGTCATACTCATTAATATAAATGTTTGTACATAAAACTGAAAGGAATGAAAATCGCTACCATAGGAAGTAACGCTGTATGCTAAAACCGTTAGACTACCGAGACCGTCAATTATTATTATAATATATAGTCTATCATTCTATTTTATGTTTTATGTCCGTACAGAAAATGCCGCAAATCGAACACAACGGTCCCGGGTTCTACTACCGCGTGTTCTGGCGCCGCAACATTACGGGCGAGCCGTACCAGGACCATCACGTGTCTGACTGGCAGCAGGAACAGTTCGTGGTACCCAACACTCCCACCTTCCAGCCGTACAAGATCAAGGTAGGTACAATAAATACCGTGATTGCCCCCGTCCAATTCAAACGGGGATCGAAATTATTCCCTGAGCCGAGGTTCGAACCCCTATCTGTGCCCTTAGACTAAAGTCGTATCCGTCAGGCGGGAGTTGGCCTTCAGCCACTCTGTAAGTTGTTTCGAGGTATTGGAGTGCCATCTGCACTCGCTCAATGAAAATAATATGTGCAAATTTACTCATTCCCACTTTATTTTTAGGTTATTGCTGGTAACTCAAAAGGCACATCAAATGTGTCCCCCGTCGAAATCATAGGCTGGTCAGGGGAGGATACGCCGCTACAAGCGCCCAACAACTTCAGCCTCGTCCAAGTGATCACCGGCACCACCGCTTTGTTGAACTGGAACCCAGTACCGGCGCAATCCGTCCGTGGACACTTCAAGGGTTACAAAATCCAGACCTGGGTCGATGGAGAAGAAGACAGGCTGAAAGAAGTTTTGGTGAAAGCAGACGCGACGAGCGCACTCGTGTCCAAATTTAAACCTTACAAACGCAACAACGCGAGAATTCTCGTCTACAACGGCAGGTACAACGGACCGGCCAGCGAAATCTTAAGCTTCGTTACACCAGAAGGCAAACCGGGGACAGTGAGGTCGTTTGAAGCTTATCCCATTGGCTCGTCTGCTATGCTGCTCAAGTGGGACAAACCTATAGACGAGAATGGGGTACTGACAGGCTACAAAATATATTACCAGGAGGTTAAAGGCACCGCGCTTGGACCTCTTCGTGAAAGGAAGAAGGAAATAGACCCGTCGTTCGATAGAGCGAAGTTAGCCGGTCTAGACCCGAACACCAAGTATAGGATCGAGATTCGTGCCAAAACAAAGGCAGGCGAAGGAGATAAGTACTATGTAGAGCAGACTACGAATGGGGGACTAGCAGCGAAGCCGGATACACCCGTGTTTGAAGCCGAGCGGCTGCCCACGAAGGATGGTAGCGCACATATCAAGGTCCGATGGTTGCCGTCGCTGGACGGTCACGCGGGCTCGCACTTCGTCGTGTGGTACAAGGTTCGAGGACATACGGATTGGCTGCACACCAACGAGATTACCGATGATGATTACGTGATCCTCACCGGCCTCGAGCCCGGTCAGGTGTACGAGGTGAAGATCATAGCACACGATGGAAACTACTTCAGTGCCAGCGAGATCAAGGAGGTCGATATCGGTGAGTTGAAACTGATTACATTTTTTCATACCATTATTTTATTACTAATGCTGTTAGCCGCAGTTGTCCGATCGATCCCCCGTCCAATTCAAACGGCTCGATATTATGACGGCCTGAGCCGAGGTTCGAACCCCTAGTGGTGCCTTCAGACTAAAGTCGTATCCGTCAGGCGGGAGTTGGCCTTCAGCCGCTCTATAAGTCCTTCCGCGGGTTTGGAGTGCCTTTTTTTTTCGGACTCTCTAATGCTGTTGGCCGCAGCTGGCCTTTACAGCTTCACCGAACGATAGAAGGCGAGTGTAGATAGCGCTCCACATCCGCGGAAGGACTTATGGAGCGGCTAAAGACCTGACCTTATTAAAAATTAGTAATTCCTTAGATATTCGTAATCAATTTTACGATTTTTTATGTATATATTTTTTCTACAATACGATAGAATAGTCTGTTAGGTAGCTACATAAATAAAATAAATTTACAGAAAGACAATTCGTAATTCCATCCAATGTTCATTAAATTAGTAGTCATCCTCTAATATTATAAGAATTTCAATTAAAAATATTGTAAATTCTAATATATACACATTACTCTATTCTAATCTAAATCATGTGTGTATATTTTTTAATTATTCTCATATCCGATTTCTAGAGTTAACTATATCTTTACATAATATAAAAAGTTGTTTTCGCTGTTAGTTCACTTAAATTTTTTAAACTACGTAATGGATTTTGAAGCGGTTTTTAGTAGTAGATAGAGTGTTTAAGTGGAAAAGTTTATATGTATAATATATGAATTACCGTGTAGTAGTAACCCCATTGGGTTATTAGTCTACATTAGTAATAATTTCCTTTCCCCTGGCGCTCAGATTCGACTGCTTTCTAGCGACAAAATCTGTTTTTGTACGAAATTTAATATTAAAACAGAATTTTAATATCAAAAGTCATTTACTTGAATCGTGGTGACATATTATTATGATTGTATTATTGACGAGCGCTCCGTCCCCGGCAGAGGGCCCGACGATAACGCGCGAGGACAAGATGGCGACGGCGGGCTGGTTCATCGGCGTGATGGTGGCGCTGGCGTTCCTGCTGCTGGTGCTGGTGCTGGTGTGTGTGGCGCGCCGCAACCGCGGCGGCAAGTACGACGTCCACGACCGCGAGCTGGCGCACGGCCGCAGGGACTACCCCGACGCGGGCTTCCACGAGTACACGCACCCGTCAGTAGCCCGCTCTATTTGTACCTATATCATATATTATAACTACAAGTACGACGTCCACGACCGCGGGAAGTTCACGCACCCGTCAGTGGCCCGCTCTACTTGTGTACCTATGTGTTATAAAGTATAAGTACGACGTACACGACCGGGAAGTACACGCACCCGTCAGTGGCCCACTTCATACACACTTCGTACACGGCCCGTTCCATACGCATATAGATGGAATATATATTGCATACATAGATAGATTGATTCTTTATTCACTAATCATAAACTCATAGCATACATTTAAAAAATCACTGGATATAATCCTTATTCAAACTAAATTAAATAAATTTTATGCACTTTTGAGTAAAACATGTTTGAATGTATTGGTTCAATCACAACATAGGACTACGAGACTATGGTAGATATATTCTATAAATTAACTTTGAATTCTTTGATACTGTTAAAAAATTATACATACCTTCAATGTCATGTTTTTTTTATTTGTTATAAATCATTACATAGTATAAAACAAAGTCGCTGTCGCTGTCTGTCCATCTCTATGTATGCTTAAATCTTTAAAGCTACGCAACGGATTTTGAAGCGGTTGTTTTAATAGATAAAGTGACTCAAGAGGAAGTTTTATATATATAATACATGCACACCCGTGCGAAGCCAGGGCGGATAGCTAGTTATACCAATAAATTAAGAAAATATTATTTTGTTTTTACAGATTGGATAACAAGTCCAGGCATTCGATGAGCAGTGGCACGAAGCCGGGTCCCGAAAGTGACACCGACTCTATGGCTGAGTACGGTGAAGGGGAGACAGGTAAGAACTCTTACAATATCTTATTATAAATGCTAAAAGTACCCTTATATCGTTTTAAACTTTCAATACTTTAACTTAATATGAAAAATTATAAACAACACAATATGATCAAATTGATAATAACAATGAACTGATCTCGTCTAGTGTTACTCGAAAAGATTACTAGCTGACCCCACAAACGTTGTTTTTCCATATAAATGAGAATCGCATTTAAAAAATAGAGGTTTGTGATAGAAGGGTCAAAATTTAGGGTTGTATGTATTTTTAATGCCACATTATATAATAATAAAATGTTAGAGGTGAACAACCCGTATCGATAAGGGGTATGACAAATAGATATTAGCCAATTTTCAGATCTACTAAATATATATATAAAATTTCATAAAAATCGGTCAAGCCGTTACGGGGGAGTATGGTAACTAACATTGTAACGCGAGAGTGTTATATATAAGATTAAATATAATATCAAGGTACCGAAGTTCTTAATTCAGTGTTTTGTAGCACTTTAATGTTTATTTTATGTTTGCTCCGAAACTGATAAGATTCAACTGGTTTTTAGCGACAGTCTGCTTTTGTATAAAATTTTCATAGAGTGCTTTTACGCGTCATCGAATTTTATTATTAAAATATCATTTATATATTTTTTTATTTTTGATTTTATTTTGTTCGTGATGTTATTAGAAATAATGTTCATATAGCGCTAGTCGATTATTACTTTTGATCATATTGTACAGCATTTCAGATAGCATAAATGTTTTCAGTTTCTTTATCACATGCAGCACGACTGATGTTTTTTTTTTTGATTGTCATATAGTATCATAATGAACATTTTCTTTTCATATAACATAGATGTCATTGCAACAAATTGCATGTACTGTAACTCTATTCACGGAGAGAAATTAATAGAGAAATGCACTGGTATGCAATTGGACAAGTTGATCCCCTGTCCAATTTAAACGGGAATCGAAATTACGATGCCCTGAGCCGAGGATCGAACCCATGGTGGTGGTGCCCTCAGACTAAAAGCGTATCCGTCAGGCGGGAGTTGGCCTTCAGCCGCTCCATAAATCCTTCCATGGGTTTGGAGTGTCATCTGCACTCGCGCCATCTTTATAATTTGAACGACAATACGCTATCTATATTAGTTTCTGACCGTGAATAGAGTGTAGTGTAGTGTGGTGTGTCGTGTGGCTGTACTGGTATGGCATGGTTCCTTGCAGCGGGTATGAACGAGGACGGATCCTTCATCGGACAGTACGGCCGCAAGCGGCGCCCGCCCGCCTCCGGACACACAGATTCTGCTTCGCAGGCCTTCGCCACACTCGTCTGAACCCATCCTCATAGTCCTTAACAAACAATCACACCTTAGGCTGTATAAACCTACTTCCTTTGCACGAACTCTTCTCAGTAGCGACGTTCGCGTATGCTAACATTCAAAAACGTAGTGCCATCGCATCACATTAAAAATAGAACAGTCTGGTACTGGACAGCCAATCTACGGAGGCCTCGATTTGATCTTCGCTCTGATTGGTCCGTTTGACGGTGAAACCGCCCGGCTAAATTTTTTAACGTATTTTTTTTATAGACTTATTTGTCTCTGGTTGTACCTTAGTTTTTTAGTTTATAAATGACTGCCAGTACTTTTAGGCGCTACTACGGGCGTTGGATGTCTTTATTGCACTATTTAAAAAATAGTTATAATAAAGGCTTATCACGTGTCTATATTTTGTGAATTATCTGTGAAATCTCAAATGCAGCGTCTTGAATTAGATATTAAGTACACAAGCAAATATTGTTTAAGTTTAGGTTGTAAAAAATATGTTTTTATTTGTGTGAATTCGTGTGATCTTTTTCTACTTACATTGTATGTATTTTTTATTCGCTTTATTGTTAATTGACTGCAGTTAGGTGCAATATGAAGTAATCTTTTCCTTTTTCCGTCCTTATATTTTACTCCTTACGTTTGCCTGTGCACGAGTTTCTTTTTTTTATTTATGAGGTATGTTTTTATTTGTTTTTTTATTTATTTTATTTTTTATTGCTTTTTTTAATGTATGATGCTTCACCATTTCCCAATATAGTTGAATGATAAAATGTAATTAAAATAGGAAATTGTGTTGCTTGAACAATTGTCGCTATCTACCTTTAAAAATTAGTCCTTAAGTTCAAGGAATGAATCGAATTTTAAACAGTTATCTTACATTGTTTTAGTGATTAAAATAAAAATTACATTACTATATACCAAATTCTAAGTCTAATATTTCAGTTACTGAAATAAGCTATTTCCTTAACGATAATATAATATGGTAACGATGGGGATTGGTTGTGCTGGTACCTGTGTGTTCAAAAAACACCCAAAAAAATGGCCAGAAGCATATAATATGGCAACACTTCGGAACTGTTAGATGTAATAATATTAGTATACAAATTTATGTATATTACTATATAAATTTTTATGAAAGTGTTATGATCCACTGAGCCATATCTGCTTTAAGATTGTAGATTATTTTTACTTAGTAGTGTAGTTTATTTCATAGTAAAAGAAGCATTTTTCATTCAGTAATAAGTACTAAAGTTTCTATGGTAACAATTTCGAATAATAGGCCGAAGAAAATGTACTAGTTCCTTTTTAATAAAATTGCGCAGACTGTGAAGTATCAAATTTTAGTTTAAATAAAAAGGAAAAGGAGTGCAGTATGCTAATATATTTTTTAAAATATGCACATTACATCAATAGAAAAATATATTACACATACTTCCTTGTATTTGACATGTACGCATATATACTCTTTTATTATTAAAGTCTATAGTCAGTATGAAAATTGATTAATATTGTTTGTTTTTAATGTTATTTGTCTATAGTCCTACTGAATATAGATCATTAGTTCGTGTAGATCATTAGTTTTTTATGGATGATAATGAAATGGTCGACTGCGCTAGTGATTTACGCTGGATGGACACCAGTAGAGGATGATAAGATGAGCATAAGTTCAGATCAGCTAACCCGTCGTGGTAAATTCATCATGAATGTATCACGATGTTTTCCAGGACCACGTGTATCCCAACCTAACCCCTTTGAAGTTATTAGTCCACATTACTAACAATCCCCTGCACCGTGTGTAAATGGTAGCTAACCCACGTGCACTGTTTGCAGGTCGGTTTACGGAAGACGGCTCGTTCATCGGACAGTACGTGCCGGGGGCGAGAGTGCTGCCTCCCCCGCCGCCCCCGCCCCCCGCCGCCGCCCCCGCCACACCCGCGCCCCCCACATACGTGTAGGAGGGGGGACGCACTCATCTCAGTCTAATTGAATATTTTGATTTGTATTACCAGTCATACAGAGAATTATACAATACAGAGTGAAAGCTTTTCAGCCAGTGCTCATTATCTAATGTATTGCATAAAAAATATAAGTAAGAATTGTCGGTATTCAGTAATATAAAATGTTTAAATCTATAGAGTAGTGATGTTCAAAGCGTTTATCGTATAGTTCATGTTTTTACTTGGCTATTAATATTTTCCTATGGGTACTGAAGAGTACCGAAGCTTACACTCTGTATTATAGACTTCTCAGGTATGATACTAGATTATCAGCTAATTGTCACGTCGATATCGTATTAAAATCTTTTCAACGACCGACACTATTAGTTTAGTCTATCGATTCTTTCTAAAACAATCGATATGACTAACTGTAAACGTTTTAATTAAACCAGTGATGTATTATTCTATCGACTGTATTTTTGTTCACTATTAATATTTGTGTCAAATTTTTCGCACCAAATATGTAGCGGCGACGTACCTGTGTCAAATGAGCTATGAGCTTGGTGTTTTTTAATATCACGACATGTTTCAGCTAGGTGTAGTTGACGAGACGCAAAGACCATATTGTCAAACTGCCACTGTATTTTTTTTATTCGGTCACTGGCAGCTATTGTAAAAAGGCGATATTATAACATTTTTGAAACATTATATTTAGTTGAAATTTATTAGCATAGGGCCAAGTTAGGGTAAGCTGAGTCGGAGCCTACAATTCATTTCGGTCGGCGCTACAGTAGTGTCAGTAGTGAAGACTATTCAAAACGTCTTTTTGTATCACAAACTCTGCGTTTTTCAAATCACTTCTTTGCTCTGTGGTAATAAAATAGATTATTTTCTTTATGAGACTGATTTTAAGTAATGGAATAAAATAGTCGTCATTTTCTGACACTTGCGATCTGAAATTCTGGACGGTGTAGAGGTATGAATCTTGCGTTAGCATTGGTATACGTAAGTAGATAGAATATCGACGTAATAAGTTGGTCGGCTGCAAATGATCCGAGAATGTATAATTTGAACCTTATTACCATCCGGCCCTTCAGAGTTTGCGTTTCTGACCGGATCAGGATCGAATAGGCGATGTAACTTTGAACTGACATACAATATACGGCAAATTTTTAAATATCTTATTCGCCTTATTAACGAGTGATAACAGTAAAAATTTAATAATTATTGCAACTTGCAATAAACGTATTAGTTTTGGGCATAATTATTAACTACTTAATAAATATAAAAATAATAGTTTTTAAAAGTCAAACCACACTAAACCGCGCCGTTTCAAGGTTATTTCATCACATCACTACAAAAACAAATAGTTGATTGGTCGATCCCGACCTGTCAGAAACGCAAACTCTGAGCGGCCGGACGTTACGTTCATTTAAGATGCATGTAAGTTATTGCGTTTACAGTCGATCGATTCAAAGCATCCCTTTCAATGGCGGTTCACTATTGGCTGGTAGACAAATGTAGGTGATGTTTTGGCCGGATATCAATTACTTGTTAATTAAGGATACGGTAGCGGAAAGACTTGAAATTAAGAGAAGCTATTTTTGTCACAGAAAATAGGTAAAGGATAAGAATATTAGCTCTGGACACCGGTGGTCAGACTTGCCATAAAGTCTATCATAAGCTATGACACAAATCGATCATAGACTAAGAATGATAAGATAAATCAGACTGCGCACTTGAATGAAACAATTGTATTATTGAGCGTGAAATTTTCTGTCAATTTTATTAGTCGTCTGATTTGTTTTATAACTTAAAATGTGATCAACGGCGATATGATAATGTACTATAGCAATTATATTTTATATGGAAGGCATATCTTATATTTAAATTACAAATATTGAAACATTTTTGGACCATATAAATATATTATTTTGTGAAAATAAAAATATGACTGTTACATAACGTCTGAAAGCTACAGTTTTATCTTTTGACTCGTATGTCTTATATATCGAAACGACATAGTATATTTATATATGTATTTAGAACAAAAACCAGCATACGTATTTGTTGATTTTGCAAACGTATCCTCGCAAATTGTTCATATATTTGGAAGAAAATTGTAAATAATGGAAGAATTGTTAATTTTGGAGTTTAAATTGCTGAATACTCTCTTTTTACAACATGGATCTCTAATTAATATTTATGTAAGACGTAATTATATTTTGGCACCTCGGTTGCGTATCGTCTCGAACAAACGGGCACAGTTGCACGATATATCAAAAGATACATATATTTTATTATAGAATAAAATATTTTTCTACGACGCAGTTTGACCACCGGCATATGTTGGTGCTTGCGGGGATCGGTTTGGGCGTGTTTAATGTAATCAATGTTGTGATTGTTCGGAAAGTAGTGTTAGCGCACGGACTCGGTCATAGTAAACATTTCTCCCACCAGAGGGCGCCCGACCGGGCCAACACTGTCGGCGATTATGTCGTCGAGTCGTGTCGTGTGTCGGCGCCCTAACTTCAAACTATCTGACTGCTAAATGATATTAGAATTTAATAATACTATAATAAATCTCAAATTTAAACTAGACATTAAATATAAATTGATTATTAGAACAGTTATAAATTAAGTACTCATGTATGGTATATTGTTCTCTATGCCGATTCGAATCTCTAATGTTTCACTCTGTACTTCCGAAGTTAGTTGAATGACAGCAGGAATTTTATCTCGAATATTTATCAGTAATCTCCTGTCATAGTATTTAATTAAGTCCTAAGGCTTTTTTGTATTTATCTATTTCATAATGTATATTCATTGAAGTTTGAACGCACTCACATCCACTTTAACAAGTTATCCCAATTTGATGTTTATATTTTTGATGCGTGATCCACTACCGGGCGGAGACGAATGTTCGAGTCGGTTCAGTGTTGCCGCGAGCCAAAATGAGCCTTGAAATATTTATTCCGTCAACCTAATGTTATATGGCAATCGTCTCCGGCCAGTACCGTGGAGGATCGACGTATCTCGTGTTAGATTTAAGGCTAGGGTCTCGTGTTAACTAATGTTAGTCGGCTAACGTTCGCTTGTCGCGTCTCCATTGTAACGGACATTTTATTTTTTGCTTTCACCACGTGACCTCGTCGTATCTGGTATCTCATACACGAATACGCACACTAATATCGTGCACTGACTTCGCCTGGCAATGTTACCTCTTATTATAATTTGTGTATATTCTTTCTTCGCCTGAAAGGTGTCGGGTCCTAAGAAAAACATTCCACGCGGTCTAACCATGTTGATTTTTGAAATATCCATTAATTTATCAATGTTTCTCAATGTATGCGTCGCTCAGATGTAATCTGAATAATGTTTTTAAAACTAAGACTATCGTTTACGATGATTACCAGAGAATCTTTAATTTCGTAATAAATATATTTTTAATCCTTGTGTGGGGCCGGATAAAGCATCTAAATATATATCGAGGCCCATTCTCATATAAACGAGTTGGTATTGTTTTTAAATCTCTAACAAATATAAGGCCTCGTAAAAAGTGCTGGGCCCATAACCTGTCACTTATATTGTATGGTTAATCCGGAACCGCACGATTTCTTTATTGAGACGTTACATACAAAGACCCTAATCGTTCTAATTTAGAGCTTACACTGTAACCATGGGTACCTTATATACATTGCATTATATTTATATTTGAAGGCACTGTTATCGTAACCCCTTTAAGTTATTTGTTAAGGAGTCTTTATCATGTCTATTGTCTAGTAAGAATTTAATATATATTAATATTAATTAATGGTAGGAGAGCCTTGTTCGATTCGCGTCTGTTTTGTCGCTTTTATACCGCGCTGTTGATCATTGAGAATTCTTCGTCGTAATTTGTTAGTACATACAGAACGGAGCGTTAGATTGTTAGAAACGCAGTTGGTGTTGTCACTGCCTTCACTTTGATATTCATACGTTCATGTCAATTTGCTTTTTCTTCAATATTTGCTTTATTAAATTACGTAAGGTCATTACTATATTTGTTCGTGTTAGTAAAGCACAATGTTTGCATTTATTTTTCGTCTTCAAGTCACAATTTTTGTAAACGTTCACAGTAAAAAACATCTAAGTGGAGTATATATTGGATTAAAAACTAAATATCAAACACTTAATAAGAAACAACAAACACAAAAAAATACTAAAATTTTTTATGCAGAAAGTCGACTCTTTAGTTTTTGTTCTTAATTCAGTTTAGAATTAAGTAAAACTTTTGACACCATACGTAGTTGGGATACAATTATAAAATTAAGTGTTTGAGTGATTCAAAGAGTAAGAAATGAACAGACATACTTAGTTATTGGTTACATTACAGTAGTTATTGTGTACTCCGAATCAAGTAGTTAATTAATGTTGTGACGTACAGTCAACGTGGAAAATTGTTTGGTTCACCGCTTTTATATTAAATTACTAATGTCATTATTGTTATTATTATATATTGCCTGCAGCTATTATAACTGTTTGACAAAGTACCTACATGTTCTTCATATGTTACAGATAATAGAAATGGAAATTGACAAAATTTATGACATTTTATATCCTGTTTGTAATCTCGTGTTAAAAATTGTTCCGAAAACGTTCATAGTTAATATATGAAATTGAATATTTGCTAAGCAATCAATTTATACGACGAATCGAAGGTATTTTGTTAAATTAAATAATATGTTGCAGTTTAGTTTAGGGTTGCCAACCACATTTATAAATAGCCAGGATTTTAAATTGGACAAATCAAGACAATTTGGTTTTAAAACAGGACCCAGTAATAGAGTTGACATAGTTTTTTTTTATTTATATGTAGTGAAATAGGTTAAATTAAATTCAAGTAATTAAAATTCTTAATAACAGTATTTAAATAATATATATACGTGTTGATAATTAGTTATGAAAACAAGCTAGCTGCTTAGCAACTATTTAGGA